TCAAGGTTGTTGTGCGGCATGGAGGCAATGTTTTAACGAAGGAGCAAGGACGGCTTTTCAGCCGCGTAAAAAACGCTAGTTTTGAACCACCGTTTGTCGGTCACTGCTGCATGATGACCTCGATGCATAGTGAACATAAAATATTAGATTCGCATGAAGAATGACCTGAGTAGATGAAAAAATTAATGAAGATCAGGTTAGCCCTGCTAAACAAACAGGTTGAGCATAATCATTTGCTGCAGGCCATTAGAATCGCGTGTGGGAGCTCAAAACACTGGAGACGTTGATTAGAAGGACTGCGTGCAATATGGGGGAACAAAATAGAAGTAGGTCTGCTTTCACAAGGAATAGTGATGCAATAACAGGCGCATTATAGTAAAAGTGTTGAAAAGCAACAAGAAACGCAGAAGGACATCGCATAATAGAGACGTCTGTTTACGCAAATTGCTCAAGGTGACGATCTGAGCAAAAATAGACACCCCACAGATCACACTTGAATACGGTGTTCAAGTTTACCCCGTTTCTGAAAGCAAAATTTCGCAAAACGACATGGGTGAAGAAGAAAAATGTTACCAGAACTGGCTGATGTGCTACAGAGCAGTGGGATGTTGCCGTTTCCACTGAGAATGGTGGCGCTGTAAAAATGAATATACCGATTTGATGGATTTAGAGTGATTATGAATTATCGTTTTTAATCTTCATTTCAGTATTTTAAGGGACAGAAGTGCAAGGAGTTAAGGACGTGATCCTTATTACACTTATGTAAGAAAATGCTTTTGGCAGAGCCGCGATATGTAGGAGTTGAGATATCTAATGATTTAAAGGACCTGAATACTCTTTAGCACATAACCTTCGTGGACTATCACTCATTGACTTCTTTCTGCGATAAACATACAGTAATCTGATTAATTTTTACATAAACACGGTTTAGAATGTCCTCTGTTTCCAAATATTAGAGCAGCTTTTATCCACAGAAATATTAACATATCGTAGAAGACCCGTCAGACAAAATATGAGCACCGGTCAATAATTTCACATTTTTTTCATTGCGCGTGAACAATCCGTGTTTTCTGCTGTTTCCATATTAATCTCTGATTCAAAGTGAAAGCTAGAAGGTTTCGCCAATCCCATGAAGGATCAAGTTTAAAAAATTGGTTGTCACTAGTGTGGGAAAGATAGGCGGAATGAAGCTGGAGATCGCTGAGTTAGGACCTGATGATGATTTCGCTATTTCGTTACTCTGCCTTTGCTGGCAGCTGCCCAAACTGAGGACCAAGATCAATGGCCGTCATGGTTCGAAGAGGCCAGTTTTTCGCTCGTCATTGAAATTAGACCGGTTCTGAAAGTTTTGAGAGCGGAACCAGTTTCCAGACGAAGTTTGGCAAGAAGTCAAAAGCGCTGCCTGAATGAGGCAGGGTGATATTGCTAGATGCATGAAATGTATGAAATGGATATGCAGTTTCTTTTGTTTGTCTGTTTAATAACAACAGCGACGTCGACATTGCAAGACCACGTGATTATTCCGCGGAGGCTACTCCTTGGCAACCAGGATTACGGTATGGTACGGATCAGCGGCGACAGTGAATGGATAAGTTATTTGGCACCGGCGAACAACGTGATGAATATTTTTGCAAAGAGGCTACGGAATGGCGTCCACTATCAACTGACCAATGAAACGCATCGAGGCATCACAAAATACTCGTGGTCCCATGACAACAGAACGATCCTTTACAGTCGGGATCACAACGGCGACGAGAACTGGAGCCTTCATGCAGTCAATGTTGAGACGGGAGAAGATCGGACGTTGACCGATACGTCAGGTGTGAAGGCGGACATCTTGGCATTGAGCCCGCAAATACCGGATTTCATAATTATTGGTCTGAACAATCGCGACAGTCGTTTCAGTGACGCCTACAGGGTGGACCTGAGGAACGGCGAGAAAACCCTCATACTTGAAAACGACTTGTACAGCGATCTGTACTTCGATATGCAGCTGGAATTGAGGCTGGTCGAGAACGAGACGGGCGAAGCGTCCAATCTGTATTTTTTAATGGAACCCGTTGACGGAGTGCTTGTAGCTAAGTTGCACAAAACGCTCAGTCCCGATGATGCCCTGTACACATCCCCGTTGAAGTTCAGCGTGGACGGCAAACGACTGTTCTGGCTGGATAACAAAGGCAGGGACATGGCGGCGTTGATCGAAGAAAATCTCGATACCGGCCAACAGCGGATCTTGCACTCTCCGAGACGAGCAGACACAAGTAAGGTGATTTCTCATCCCACTACTGGCGAACCTGTGATTGTGTTCGAGGAGTATGCAGTTCCAGACGGATACGTCGTGATGTCTAGTGTCAGCGATGATTTCCAACGCCTGAGGAACTACTTCCCACAAGGTTCTGTCATCGACATTCCTTCAACCTCGCTGGACTTCAGGAAATGGATTGTGGCGATCTCCAGCGATGCTGAACCGATCAGTTATTACCTTTACGACCTCGATGATCCGAATCGCACGTTTTCGCTCCTGTTTCACACAATGGAGAAAGTGATGCAATACGACACTGCTTCGACCAGAGTTATTGAGGTCAAAACAAGGGATGACTTGACAGAAGTCTGTTTCATAACTTTTCCCCCTCATACGATAAACAAGGAGGGACTTCCTCATGAACCGCTGCCAACCGTCGTAT